TCTGGAAAGTGGTACTGGGAAGTAGAAGTAGCAAAGAAGACAAAATGGACAGTTGGTGTTGTCAGAGAATCCATCGTGCGGAAAGGCAGCTGTCCTCTAACTCCGGAGCAAGGATTCTGGCTATTAAGACTAAGGAACCAAACTGACCTAAAGGCTCTGGATTTGCCTTCGTGCAGTCTGACGCTGACTAAAAACCTGAATAAGGTGGGCATATATCTGGATTATGAAGGCGGGCAGTTATCCTTCTACAATGCTACAACCATGACCCATATTTACACCTTCAGTAGCACTTTCACAGAGAAACTTTACCCCTACTTTTGCCCTTGCCTTAATGATGGTGGAGAGAATAAAGAACCATTGCATATCTTACATCCACAGTAATCAATCATACTATTGTGTAAATTCAGAGTGTTTATTAAAGAGGTATTAAAATAGCTTACCAGTCTCACTGGTTTCTCGTCCCAATTGATGGGGAACTCTAGAATAATGAAAAAAGGATTGACAACTGAATTCCATTCTCACTGTTCTAAGTGGTTTTCACTAGAGCCTTTCAAGACATGATTCTAATTCTCTAGGGTCTTCTGTGACACAGGAGCTACTTTCATGGGCGTGATCATCAAGCTCTTCTTACTGGAACAAACTGCAACTTGTAATTTGAATGCTTGGGAACCCTTTCAAACATGCCTAGAAATTTGTCATACTGTCATTATTCCCAGCATAATGACTCTTAACAGATGAATTTTCAGATGTATACTCCCTATTTAATTATCTTGTAATATTAATTTTGCAATATATTTCTTTTCTAGAACTTGTTGCTGTGAGTAGGAAAAAAAAAACCTGCTCAAGAGATTTAAAGAAAAAAGTAGGATATGGTCTAGGCTACTTTATAATCTTGCCCTGAAATTCTTCAAGATATATCTAAGTCCAGTGAATCTCTGACTCTCGGTCCCTTTTTCTTTCTTTACCTATCTATGGAGGCACTTGTTTTTCTGTATTAAATACATTTAAGTATTTTTATCCACTTTTGACCATGTCCTTTTCATCATTCCACTTATAATTTAAATATCAGTATTTTTCCCTTTGTCTTCTTCAATAAACTCATTCACCAGTTTTTTCCTTCTAAGCTAAAGTTCTTAGCAGTACCCTTGATGAACGATCCCTTCTGCCTTCCTTGTAAGTCCCATTTGGTTAAATGGCTTCATTCTCTGTATCTGAAAGTTTTTTGTTCACGAGTGTGTGGTGGGGAGGGGAAAAGCGGGAGTGGATACTTCAAACAGGCAGCACTAGCTCTCTAAAATTACAATTTGCACAATGTTTTGGCAGGGCAAAAGCCCCCATCATATCTGTCACAATGGGAAGGAAACACATAAATTACATATTTACACTGGCATAAAATATACATATATTTATAGCTGAAATATATACGCATATATGCCTGATTTGGGTAAATAAGCATGACATGATTATGGCTCCATTTAAAAAATTACTTTTGTTTTTTAAATGACTTCACATAAATCAGAATGTAATTAAAGACCTGTTTAGTGTCTGCAACTTTGTTAGTTGTTCTGAAGAATATCAAGGAAGCATAAAAAGAAAAAAAGATCCATCTGGGGGATTTAAGAGAAATTCAGATGGCTAGGTCCTATGCAAGACCAATTAAATAAAAAGCCTTAGCAGGTGCAGCCCAGGAATTTACAGTACCTAAAAGTATCTAAAGGAACACAGTTTAAAAAAATTGAAACAGGGGGCCTCCCTGGTGGTGCAAGGGGTTAAGACACAGCACTAAGAAACTTCCGGCAGCCACTGCAGCATGAGTTCGATCCCTGGTCAGGGAGGTTACCCACGTGGCACAGCAGACCTCGCCTGTCTCGCCCGCTGCTCCCCTCAGCAGTGTATTTCAGTAAATCTGTCTGTTCTGCTCCCCCCTCTGTCTCTGGTGAATCCTCTCACCCCCCACACCTCTGGCCTTTACCCCAGTTCTTGGATGCATAAATAAACCTTAAAAAAAATTTTAAACAGGAAAACTGCCACACATTTGTATGAAAAACTCCGACATCCTTTCCATCTAGAGTCACCAATTACTAACATTTTGACACATTTTCTTAGTCTTTTTCCTCCCATACCCACCCCATCTGATTTTGTGTTTGTATATAATTATTACTAATGTTAATTTTACTGAGCTACTTTAGATTAAGTTGCAGGCATTATAATTCTTGCCCCTAACCACTTCAGTGAGTATCTCCTAGAACTAAGATCTCTTACGTAATCACAGTACTAAATAATCAATTCCAGAAAATTTAACAAAAATATCTTTGTATGAAGTAGAAGATAAAAGAGGCCCAAGGCAGTGAGTGAGTTAGGATTCACTGAGCTGAGATCATCAAAAGGAGAATGAATGCCTTGTACTTTTCTTTGACTAACTAGACTTTTGGAATAGGGTAACATTATTGCACATTTATATAACATGTCTATGATAAAGAAGAAAAAATATGGTAAAACTGAATTTCAGGTATTTCTGGAAAGATGCTCTGGATCAATTTTTCAGTTAAGTAAAGATGGTTTATTCAAGGTTGACTATTTAATTACTTTTGATAAAATCCTCCCAAGTTGACATACTTTCTTGATTATTGAAAAAATTCAACAGTAAAATACATACAGAAGAATATATAATATATATGCACACTTTAGAGCATAATACAAGATGACAAACACCCATTAAGTGATAATTTAGCTAAGAATAACAAAACAATCTCAAAACCTCTCAAGGCCCCTGTGCAGCTTCACCAGCCCTGTGTAATCACTATTTTACATTTCAGGTCTAGTTTTTTTTTCTTTTTGAAAACAACAGGTATGTTTTTCAACAAATACACATACTGTTCAGCTTTTTCTATTCTGTATGTATCCCTAAAAATAACTTTCATTCTGCCTGGTTTTTGATGAATGGGATCACATATATCTTCCTAGGCTTTTTTAAAATTCAAAATTATGCTGTATTCTATTGTATGAAAAGACAACAATTTAAGTATGCAAACTACTATTGACAGATAATTGGTGGTTCCCACTTAGGGTTTTTTTTTTTTGCGGGGGAGGGGTAGTGTTGCCATAAACATTATTATATATGTGTACTCAACATGGGAGCAAAAGTTTCTCTAGGCATAAACCTAATAAATTGTGGGCATCTTCAAGATATGCTGTACTGTTGGTTAAGGCAATTGTGTTGATTTATATTCCCACTAGCAGTGGGAATTCGCATTAACCTAGGTCTTTACTATTTCAATTTTTACCAGTAAGATGTGCACATAGTAGAATCTCATTATAGCTTCAGTTTGTATTTATCTTCCCAAGGTACCACTGTGGTTGGGCATCTTTACACAAGTTTATTAGTCATTTAGGTTTTCTATGAAATGCCTATTTGGGCCCTTACCCATTTTTCTATTTTTTTTTTTTTCCTCTTACTGATTTATAGGGTCACATCTATTCTGGACACCAATCCCTTGGTTATTTGTACTGCAAGTATCTTCTCTTGTGTCTCAATTTTGAAATCCTCTACTCAGAGGCTAGAAATATATTGTCCTGTGTTTTATTCTGTATTGTTTCAAAGTTTTACCTTACATACTGAAGAGCTTAATGGTTTAGTCAACTAGAAAATAACAAGTGTACACTTGCATGCACCTAACAACACAATTTTAAGGTAAATAAAGCAAAATAAATAAAACGAGAAATTGACAAATCCACAGATAAAGTAGGTTTTAAAATACCACTCTCAGTAACTAATAGAAGAGTCACTATGATTAATTTAACCCAATAACCATAGGTATAACACTGCACCCAATACTCCAGAACATCCAACAACTACAAAACATTCTTTGCAAAAATACAGAGCACCGACCACATACTTGTCATAAGGAAAATTTCAACAAATTTTAAAATATCTTAATCACACAGGCTATATTCCTTGACCTTAGTGCCTTTAAAAAAGACCACTAAACAATCACGTGTATTTGGAAATTAATTTTTTTAAAAAGTAACCATGGTTCAAAAAACTCATATTGGGAATGTGAAAATATTCTGAATTGAACAATAAAAACAATATCTCAAAAATTGTGCCACCCAGTTTAAAGGAAATTTAGAGCTTATATGCACATATTAGAAAAACAAAGGATGAAAATGCCTTTCAAGAAATTTTAAAAAAGCAATTCACCAGCAACTTAAACCATGTAGAAATACAGAAAGAGCAGAAATTTAAACTATGTGAAAGAAATATACAGGGAGCATTAACAAAACCAAAAGTCTGTTTTCTGAAAAGGCTAATAAAACTGACAAATCTCTAGTGAGACTAAGAAATGTTTAAAAAGGAACAAGTCATATCAGAAATGAAAAAGAAACTACACAGAGCCTGCAGATATTAAAAAAGGTTTTTGGAACAACTTTATATTCATAGCTTTTGCATTTCAGAGGAAAAGGACCCCCCCCCCCAAAAAAAAAAAAAAAAACAAAACCACCTAGTTTTAAAACTGCTGTCACCTGAGGGGAGGAGAGTGTACAGAAAAACGTAATTTTGAGAAAACTGGAAATTTGAGCACTGGTGATAGTTTCTACACTAAAGTTTTTTTAATTGTGATAATGATGTTTAGGTTATGTTTTCTAGAAAGACCTCATCCTTCAGGGCAACCAACGGAAACATTGACAGGTAAAGTAAGATTTGCTTCAAAAAAAACAAAAAACAAAAAACAATACCAGAGAACCTGCACACACGCCCGTACATCACAGTACCAGAACTTTGTTAACACTTAAAATTTAATACTCACAAGCAGTCAGGGCAGCGGCCTCCTCACACTTCCCCCAGGTGCCCACCTTGGCCTGGTAGTGACGGGATCCCTACTCCGCACCTCCGCTTTTTCCCGCCCTTTCCTCCTGACAACCAATCATCCAGCTCGGCTTCAGACCTGGGACCAATCAGCCCCAGAGCTCGGCTCCGGGCTCCTCCCCCCACGCCATCCCGCTGAGGACGCGCGCCATGTTTCAAGGGCAGCAGGGCTGGTTCTGCCGCAGCGTCAGCGGCCATCTCAGGCAGTTTTGGGGTAGGCGGCCGAGTGGAAGGGGTGGGCAGGGTGGTGAGGGGAGTCCCTCGCCTCTCTCTGGTGCCTTGTCCGTGGGGTATCTGCTAGGTTTACCTGTGCGCTTCCCTCCACAGTGGCCGAAGGCGGGAAGATCAGTGACGCGAGGGCCGCGGACTTCCTGTTCAGCTGCGATGCTTCGCACCCCGACACGCTGAGGTACCCGAGGGCCCCGGGCAGGGCCTCTTTGGGTCATGATGAGCCGGGAGCTGCAGATGGAAGTTGCAGTGCACTAAGTATTATTATTTTTTTGTAAATGCAAGTTTTTTAATAGCTCTAGAACCATTCTTAAGGAGGAGGGAAAGCCACCTCATCGCATTTTTTAAGTATAAATACATTTTTAAGAGGTGAAATCATTTGTTGCTTGTTTTTTGTGTTTTTGTTTTTTTTTAATACAATCAAAAATAGTTTTGATTGTTGGGGATGTTTGCTTAACATTCCACAGATGGGGGCAATTTTTATGTATTTTTTTAAAATCTCTCATTTTTATTTATTTTTTTACATCATTGTTCATTTTTAAACAATATTTGCTTCCCTCCACCCCCTCAGGTGTAGTCCCCAGAGAGTTTCCTTCCCCAAGGCACCCGTGCACCATCACCTCAGTCCCCTGTGCTTCTCATTTCCTCTGATCCCTCTCCTCCTCCTCCCCTGCAGGATGTCTCTGATTTATAATTGTCCATTTTTGCTTTGTTGTGTTTTGTACTGTTATTATTTTTTTACACTGATGTCTTATTTGGTTTCCCCATATTCCTGCTATAAGTGAAACCATCTGATATTTTTCTTTTTCCTTCTGGCTTATTTCACTGAGCATAATTCTTTCTAGTTCCATCCACGTTGCTGCGAATGGCATGAGTTTATCTTTTTTGATTGCTGAGTAATAGTCCATTGTGGATATATGCCACATCTTCTTGATCCAGTCATCTATTTTTGGGCATTTGGGTTGTTTACAGGTTTTGCCTATTGTAAATAATGTTGCAATAAACATAGGTGTACAGATGTTTTTTTGAATCAATGTTTTTGTGACCTTTGGGTGGATCTCTAATAGTGGAATTGCCAGGTCCTATGGTAGCTCCATTTTTAGTAGACTGAGGAACCTCCACACAGCTTTCCATAGCGGTTGCACCAGTTTGCACTCCCACCAGCAATGTAGGAGAGTTCCTTTTGCTGATAGGAAGAGAGGAAAAGAGCTAGTTTTCAGTTCTAGATGGCATGGCCTCCTACCTGCTCTAAGGGCCCCTCCCCAAGTTCCAGTCGTGTTTTCGGCCATCTCCCTCATAACTTAATATGTTTAAGCCCTCTCCAGATTGCCCTTGTACCTGCACCAGATCCTGTGTTCTCAAACTTAAAACCTTGATAATTTCTTTGGAGTGACACCCCCCCTTACCGCCATTAATCAGTCTGTGGACAAACAGCACGATTTGTCACCCTCTAAAATGCTTTTTCTCACTGCCATTATCTTAGTACACACCCCATATATCTCTTGGCCAGACGGTCAAGGTAACTTTCACAGAGGTTGCTTTGCCTGCATATCTGTCCATCTGCGATCTCCCTTGACGTTCTTGTCCGACCATGTTTACAAAGAGGTCTGATCAATGCCCGGGCCCTTCTCCCCTTTCCTCTACCACCCCACTATTCCACATCCCTGCCATCCACCAGTCTCTTGATAATGTTCTTACTTATATTCATTTATACTTTCATTTGAAAGGTTGATACATTCTTGTTTATTTCATAATCTAAAATATTTCCTTTCTCCTAGAATATACCAGAGCCTTGATTACATAGAAGATAATGCTACAGTTTTTCACGCCTATTATCTCTCTGCAGTCGCTAATGCTGAAATTAAAAACTCCGTGGCTTTAGGTCATTTCATTCTTCCTCCTGCATGCCTGCAAAAAGGTTAGCAAAAGATTGTTCATCCAGTCCCTGAGAGCCAAATCCAGCCACCTGTCACCCAGTTGACCTAAGTAAAAAAGGATAGACTTTGAATCACATTGCCTTGGGTGTATGTGTATTCTAAATTTGTTTATTGTTCATTCACACATTCACTGAGCTCCTACTGTGGGCCAGGTTTCAACCCAGGTGCTGATAATTCAGTGGTGAATAAGACTGATGCAGATCTTGCCCTCAGGGAGCTCAGCATATAGGATCCAACACTGTTTTCTTACTTTTAGCAACTTCTCCCAAGTTGTTTTGAAGGTAAAATGAGATAATAAATTAAGTAGTTTGAAATGTGAGCCTTCAGTTCTTTGCTAGTTGGGAATCATTTTTTTTTTTTTTCCTGAATTTCCCGCCCAACATTTAAAGATATGATAATAAACCTATATGTTTGCATTGTTCTTTAAACTTCTGAAAGTACTTTCACATTAATTATTTTAACAACTCTTGGGCCTCCCCGGTGGCGCAGCGGTTGAGCGCTGGGTTGCGAAGCTGCCCGCGCCTCTGCGGCGCCGGTTCGATCCCCGGCTGCTCCCCGGCCACTGGAGGAGGGTCCCGCATGGCGCGCAGACCTCTCCTGCTGCCCGCTGCTCCCCTCAGCAGTGTACTTCGGTCCTTCTGCCTGCTCTGCTCCCCGCTCTGGCTCTGGTGAATTCTCTCGCCCTCCCGCGCTTCTGACTGTACCCAGTGCCTGAATAAACAAAAAAACAAACAAACAAATAAATAAATAAAACATGCCTCTATTAAAAAAAAAAAAAAAGACTTTAAAAAAAAAATTATTTTAACAACTCTGTGAGGAAGGGAAAGCTAGTAAATAAATTGTGTCTGAGATTAGTTCTTTTAGCTTTCCCTACTTGGAACACTATTTCTTGCCCTGTTCTGTCCAAATCCTGTTTTTATGGGCTAACTTAAAAATACCATTTTGTAGGTCTTGAATTATTACCCAATTCTTGACATGTATACATGCATCCCCAGGACGACAGAGTAAGACTAATACAGATTCCCAGAGTATTAAAAACAACAATAAAACACTGAAAAATACTTAGTTAGAAACCCCAAGGTAGGGTTCCTTCCATAGTTGATATCCTGATGGGACTTCGTTATTACTGACAACAACAAATTGTTTTAAGTGGTTGTGTAAATCAATTAATGACTGGCTAGGAGAATTGATTTACTCAAAAACTTAGTGTCAATCAGTGGGTACCCAACTTCAAAGAGTTTATATTATAGAATGCCTATGTGATCTGTTTTTAAATTATCACTCCTATACTGCCTTTGAAATTAGCATCTTACTTTAAAATGTATTTAAATTAAAAAAATTTTAAAAATCTATTTAAAAATTTTAAAATCTATTTAAATTTTAAAAAAGCATGAAAACATGCTCCTTTTTAAAAAATAAAAATGTGTAATTTTAATCTACCTCAACTGGTATTGTCTGGGTAGAAATGTGAGACCAACTGTAATTATTAATTTAAAATTTTCCAGTAGTCATAAAACAAAGAAGGTGAAAATAATTTTTTTTAAAGATTGATTTATTTATTTATTTATACAAGAACCAGGGTATAGGTCAGATTCGCAGGAGGATGAGAGGCTTCACCAGAGACAGAGCGGGTGTTAACAGAACAGGCAGACTGACGAAATACACTGCTGAGGGGAGCAGCGGGCGTGACAGGAGAGGTCTGCTACACCATTTGGGATCCTCGCCAGCTGGTATCTAACCAGTGCCGCAGAGGCTGCGGACAAGCTTCACAAAACTGTGCTCACCCACCTGCGCCACTAGGGGAGGCCTGTGAAAATAATTTTAAGAGTATGTTTTATTTAACCTAATATATCTAAAATACTGTTTCAATATGTAATCAACACTAAAATTATTGAGATAGCTTACATTCCTAATTTCACATGAAGTTTTTGAAATCCAGTGCATATTTCATGCAGTGTTTATTTTATCCTATCTCTGATAAGACTAGCCACATAGTTCAGCATACCTTTGTAGTCAGTGGCTACTATACTGAACAGCGTATGTCTAGAGGAATGTTATTTTTTTTTTGTCCTCCAACAGGCTACTGTGCAAAGTTTTGAGTTAGGATATGACATAGTTCTTTGACATGCCAGGCATTGTAGAATTCCTGCACTAAGATGCCCAGTATTCATGTTGCTGATTCATCCTTTCAGCAAAATAAATTATTGAATTCTTGAGAATCCCTCTTCTACAAATTCAGGGAATTGGACAATTACCTTTTTTATTTTTGCTTGGCCTAAAGACAATGACATCAATGAATATATGAATATATTCCAGCAGAAAAAAAATCAACAATAATTCTCATAATACTTTTGAATCATCTGTGAAGTCTGTTAGAAATGCAAATTCTTGGGCCTCCCTGGTGGAGCAGGCAGTTGAGCGCAGTGCTGTGAAGCTGTCTGCAGCCTCTGCAGTGCCGGTTTGATCCCGCCGGCCTCGGAGCAACCCACATGGCAAGCAGACCTCTCCTGTCTCGCCGGCTGCTTCCCTCAGCAGTGTATTTCGTCAGTCTATTTGTTCTGTTCCCCACTCTGTCTCTGGTGAATCCTCTCACCCTCCTGTGCCTCTGGCCTGTACCCTGGTTCTTGTATAAATAAATAAATAAATAAATAAATAAATAAATAAATAAATAAAAGAAACGCGGATTCTTGAGCTCTTCCACAATGATCTGATTCAATAGGAACTTGATTTTCAAACAAGTTTCTTAAGTGATTTTGATGCAAGTAGAATAACACTGGCTTAGAAATTTCAGACTTCAAGCAACATCAGCAAATTACATTACTTAAAAAACAACATTGGATTTGTTTTTCTTACCCCAGAAATAAGAAGAAAAATTGGTGATTTTATCTGGGAACAAGACCAACATTTTCTGATAGAAGAGGTAAGAACAAATTAAGGTACTTGATTAGAATTCACAGTTTCATTTTTTGGATTTGTAATTCATAGAAAACCTAGGAATCCTCAAGTCAAAGATTTTAAGAAAGTATAATTTAGTAACACTTATTTTGGTTTCCTCATTTTTTTAGGACTAAAATGTAATTAGGGAAAATTTCAAAAATTGAAAAGAGTAACATCAAAGTTTTCTTATCTGTTACACCTACAGCTGATTTTTAAAAATTCATTATCACTAAAAATATACAGTAAATTGTAGATGTGTGAAAATATTGGTAAGTTTTACCTATCGAACTAGATTGAATGAACCTAACTATATGACTCTTTTCAATATATCACTTAATATATATTACCAGTTTGCTTTTTTAGAAAAACATTGACTGAATCATTAATGTGCTGAGTTTTAAAATTTTCTTTTGTTATCCACAGCATGAAATAACACCAAGTGAAACAAAGGCCCTTAGGGAAAGTAGTGAACTAGCAAAAGATCACAAAAAAGCGTTATCCAAAAGGTATACTGAATTCATACACTTTATTGATGTTTACTTCAATATAGACATCTTTGAGCACTGACTATATTTAATTCGTTTAATTTTCACAGTCTTGTCATGAGATTGATATTATCACCATCCCAGTGTCGGTGGTTTTCAAGTATTCATAGTATACATTTCTTCAAAAGTCCAGTTTTAGCTACTGAAATAAAAATGATCAAATAGTAGTTGTTTTTGTTCAATATACAAATTAATGAATTTAATTTATATAGTTTTTAAAATTTTAAGTTTTTCTCCCATACTTTTTCCTTATACCTTGTTCCTACAAGTTGACTTGTTACAAGTTAATTTAAACTGTTATCTCATTTAAAACAAATGTGTCTAAGTTTAAACCATTGCTTAAAGGTTCTGTGACTTCTAAATATTTTACTAAAGTTTGAGAATCCATGTTCTAGTTCTTTGGTATCCCTATATATAGTATTCTTTTGAATTTGTTAAGCTTTTTGAGAAAAGAAACTGGTAAAAGAGGGTAGACAAATGAAAACAGGAGAGGTGAGACCATGAAGATCTATTAATCTTTTTTTTTTTTAAAGATTTATTTATTTATTTATACATGCACTGGGTACAGTCAGAAGCGCGGGAGGGTGAGAGGATTCACCAGAGTCAGAGCGGAGAGCAGAGCAGGCAGAAGGACCGAAGTACACAGCTGAGGGGACCAGTGGGCGGCAGGAGAGGTCTGCGCGCCATGCGGGACCCTCCTCTGGTGGCTGGGGAGCAGCCGGGGATCGAACCGGCGCTGCAGAGGCTGCGGGCAGCTTCGCAACCCAGCGCTCAACCGCTGCGCCACCAAGTGAGAGGGGCCCCAAGAAAAATCAACATCATTAATCTTAATGAGATACCATATAGAATGGCAATAACTAAGCACGTAGTGCAAACTGGTCCAACCACAGCTGTGTGGAGAGACCTACTAAACATAGAATATGACCCAGCAATTCCACTCCTAGGTATTTACCCAAAGGACACAGAAAACATTTGATAGCAGCAGTGCTAGCTTTGGAAACAACCCAAATGCCCAAAAATAGATGACTGGATCAAGAAGATGTGGTACATACATACCATGGAATATTACTCAGCATTCAAAAAGATAAACACATGCAATTTGCTGCAACATGGATGGCGCTGGAAGGCAGCTAAGCCCCGGATGGTCTCACATAGCAGAATTGATAAGCGAAAAACTATGAAAGGTTGCGAAGCTGGGGCGCTGCGAACGCAGCCTAAACTGCTAAGACATTAAATAAGACACTGGGAGAAAACATTTGATAAGTGCTAGTTTCCTCAGTGTACCCCAGCTGCTCCTTGGAAGCTGCCCGGGTCCCACATGGCGTGCAGACCTCTGCTGCCGCCCGCTGCTCCCCTCAGCAGTGTACTTCGGTCCCTCTGCCTGCTCTGCTCCCTGCTCTGGCTCTGGTGAATTCCCTCACCCTCCCGCACTTCTGACTGTACCCAGTGCTTGTATAAATAAATAAAAATAAATCTTGAAAAAAAAATCTGAGGAAAATATTTCCAATTTAGTACAATAAAAACAGACAAAGGATATGAATAACCACCTCAGATAGTAGTTTATTTAGAACCTTTTCTTTGTGGAACCACTAGAGGGTGCATCTGTTTCAACAAATGAAATATACTTTGCACTTGCTTGTGAAGCATTTATTTTGTTGGTAATAATACTAATGATAATGAACACGTACTATGTGATAAACTAGCTATTGGACACTCACTAAATACAAGACTTGTATGTATGAGCTAGTCATTTCACATTTCATTTGATTCTCACAACCTTATGAGATAGATAAATACTATTAGCCTCATATCACAATTGAGGAAACAGATTCAGAGAGCTAAATAATTCACACAATATTATTCAATAATGAAACTGAATTTGAAACCACGTCTAGCTGATCCAGAATCCAAACTCTTAACCATTATGCTGTTTTCCCTTCTTAATAGGTTTAAAATTTTTCTGAAAATTGCAAGAATTTTTTTTTCTATTTTTCTTGTTTTTAACTGTTGTATTATTTTAAATGTAAGTCATATATTTTGTTAAAATGAGAAATACAGAAAAAATAAAGAATATTTAAATTATAAGCAATCCCACCACTCAAAGATAATCACTCTTAACAATAGTACATTTCTTGTCAGTTTTCTACAAATACATTTACTAGAGCTGAGGTATCTTCATGAAGGTACCTCTTGTGGCAGCTTCATCAACATTTTTTTAAGACAAATCTTCATTTCTTAGATAATTTTCTTAATGTAAATTCTCAGATGTAGAATTTATGATATATTTTGAAAGGTCTTGGCACATATTGTTATTTAATAAATGAAAAATTACAACTTTTAAATTGCATTTTCTTTGAATACTTATAGGTTTGAACCTTTATGCATTTGCTATTAGCATTTTATAGTTTCTTTTCTGTGGTTTGTTTTTATCCTTTCTATTGGATATCCTATTGTTTTTCTTATCAGTTATCTGATATCTTTATATAATAGGTATATTATCCTTTTGCCAGTTTGTTGCATTGTACCCTCAATTTGTTTTCTGGCTTATAAGTTTTTTGGAGATACAAATTTTAAATCTTTACATTACTAAATCACTTTTTCTTTATAATTTCTGCTATATTATTTATGTTCTGAAAAGTCCTTTCCCATTTAGAAATCAAGTAGGTTTTTAATTCTGCATATATTTCTTTTGGCATATGACAAAATGTGAAGATCTAACTTATTTTTGTTTTGCAAATGAGAAATTTCCACCAGTTTTTAATAAATCTATTTCTAATTGATTTGTGATTTCTATTATATGTTATTAATATATATATGGTGATCTATTTTTAGATTATTTGTTTTATTCCCTTGAGTTTTTTTTTTTTTCACAAATAGTAATACACTATAAAAACTGGCGCCTTGCATTTTTTTCACTCAATAGTTTACCTTGGAGTTCATGCCCTTCTACTATATAAGGAGCATTTTCATTTTGTACCACGTAGTATTCCACTGTATGGATCTATCATAATTTAACTACTACATGATTTTAATTGACTTTTAAGTAGTTTCTAACATTTTACTGATAAAACTGAAGTCTAATTGATCAAAGAGCAGTTAGACCACTATATATGTATTGCCAATTTCTCATTTGTAAAGGAAGTCCATAAAAAAAAAATATGACTTTTTGCATGTTTCATTTTATAGCACAGAAGAGCATTTTGTAAAGACTCCAGTTGCAGAAAAGCAGATGTACTTCCCTCTTCAGAATTATCCAGTGAACAACATGGTAACAGGTAATATAAAATAAAATGTAGAGTATATAAACCCAGGCAGGTAGGGAAGAAACAAGGGACTATTTTATAGTAAAGCTGTTATACTTCAAATGTCTAGCAAATAGAGGTCCCTCTATTATATATGTGGTACTAGAGGATGAATCATTCACACATTAAATAGCCTACAGAAAATAGTACAAAAATATGTTCTGTGTTAAAAATGATGTTCTATAGGTAGGATGAACACATAAGACAACCCTGGTTTATATCTGTTTTCTTGGCATCAATTTTTACTCTCGAGTTTCCTAATTTGGATAACTGCAATCATAGTTTCCTCTGAAAATCTTATGAAAGATAGGCCTCTTTCACTACATACACACAAACGTAGCATACAAACTTTATATAGAATCTAAAGAGGCTCACATATGCACAAAAATCCATTCATGGACTATTCAGGCATTCATGGACTCCATATATGGGTTTCCTACCCTAATGTTCGACATAGAACAAAGTCAGCTGAGGCTGACATTGAGAGAGTAGAACCAAGGTAACCAGTGAGAAATAGCTACTGGGATTTGGGTAGTCTTAAGTGAGGTAAATATTTGGATATTTTATCTAGGTAGTATATAGTAAGGGCACTGACAATTTAAAAAATAAATTTAAAAAATTAATACAGCAATTTTTAAATATATATATATTTTAAATTTTATTAAAATCATTTGTATACATATCATATTCTCTTTATTTGTTCAATTAAATAATTGTTTTCTTTATATTTCTGCCTTACATTTTAAATAACTCTTGGATGAAAACTTCATTTTTTAGAGATAAATCATTTGTCTTTAATTTGGATGTATGTAATAAGTAAGTACTTCCCTTTTTTGAACATGCCTGCCTGCCTCTACAGAAAGGAATAATTTCTTAGTGGGAAAAAAATCCGCTTGTTATTTAAAAATGTAGTGAGAGAATTCTGATTTACAGAATGATATCAATTTTTATGACTGTAACTTAACTCCCTGAAAATATGTTGAGTACAATTAATGAATGTTAAATTTCTGAAAATAGAGCTGCTTGGTTATAGAATACACAACTCTGAGCTATGCCCCAGACCAAGGTTTCTCAGTTAGAACTATTGTCATGTTTGGTCAGATAGTTCTGTGCATTTAGGATGTTCAGCTGCAACCCTGGCTTCTGCCCACTAGATGCCAGTAGCATCCCATCTCTCACCCTCACCCCAAGTTGTGACAACCAAAAATATCCTCCAGATATTGCCAAAGGTTCCATAAAATATCATGGGAATTGTATTTTGTTTTCACTTATTTGTTTTTTGCTTTTGACTGGAATTAAACCCTCCCAGTCTGGTATCACTCCCTTTAACCCATGATTATGGTTCTGATTGACAGCTACCTGTGTGATTAATAAAGGGAAAAATACTAAGAATTGTAAGTAGTTTGTAGGCAAATCTTTCAAACCAAAAATTTCTCTTAATTGAAAGTTTGGGAACTTATAAAATATATTAGTTATCTATTTCTGTGTATCAGATTACTACCAAACTTATCAGTTTAAAACACTAAACAAGGCCTCCCTGGTGGCACAGCGGTTGAGCGCTGGGTTGCAAAGCTGCCCGCAGCCTTTGCAGCGCTGGTTCGATCCCCAGCTGCTCCCCGGCCACCAGAGGAGGGTCCCACATGGCGCAGACCTCTCCTGCCACCCGCTGCTCCCCTCAGCAGTATACTTCGGTCCTTCTGCCTGCTCTGCTCCCCGCTCTGGCTCTGGTGAATTCTCTCACCCTCCCGCGCTTCTGACTGTACCCAGTGCTTGTATAAATAAATAAAAATTTAAAAAGAAGAGTGTTTTAAAAAATAAAATAAAATAAAACACTAAACATATATTATTTCATAGTTTCTGAGGGCCAGGAATACAACAGCTTCTTACTTGGGTGCTCATAATGTTGCAGTCATATTGTCAACCAGGATTTCAAAGCACAACTGGGACTGAAAAAAACTATTTTAAAACTCAGGAGAATGCTTGTTGGCAGACTTGGGTCCTTTCTTGCATTTGGCCAAAGGCATCAAATCATCATCCTCTCCACAGGGGTATTCACATTTTGGTAGCTTGCCTCCTATAGAGTAAGGAAATGCAAGAGAGATGTGCTTGCCCAAGACAGAAGCCATGGGTTTCTTTATATTCTGCTGTTGGATATGAAATACCATCACTCTGCCCTGTGCTGCTGGTCATATAGTCCAACCCAAGTACAAAATGGGAGGGGACTACAAAGAGAATAAGGGACTGTTCTCCTGGAATACTAGGAGATAGGGATCTTTTAGGACCATGTGGGAGTCATTTACTAAAACAAGAGCTTGCCCCTCAATCCCACCCAGTTACTTTGTGAGTAAATACCTTATTTGGTATTTACTGGGCCAATCACAGCTCTTTCTCTGGATGTTTAGACACAAAATACAGCAAGTCAAGTCATTCTTAATCAGGTGACCATATCTAAATTATAAAAGTTGGGCATTATCAGTGTGTATATTTTATATCATGTGAAGACAATTTGCCTCAAGAGAAGAAAATGAAACTAAATTCAGAGAAAAACTTGTGACCTGTGAGTTGTCCATGAAAGCCGATTCTAGTTATTTTGAGACCCAGCAATATATTTGCCTTCTTTACAGCTTGGTTGATATGACAGTGTCCTTTCAGTAAATTCCCCTTTTGTTTAGGCTAGTTTAAATAGGGCTTCTGTCAACTTAAACCTGAAGTGTTAATTGCTACACCAATCTACTTTTTTTTTTTTCCAATCTACTTTTGATGCAATAAAAGTCCTCCTTATTCTTACAGCGATATTTTTATTAATTTAACAATTACTTTTTTTTAAAAAAAAGATTTGTTTATTTATTTATTTATGCAAGCACTGGGTACAGTCAGAAGCGCAGGAGGGTGAGAGAATTCACCAGAGTCAGAGCAGGAAGCAGAGCAGGCAGAAGGACTGAAGTACACTGCTGAGGGGAGCAGCGGGCAGCAGAAGAGGTCTGTGGGACCCTCCTCCGGAGCAGCCGGGGAACTAGCCGGCGCTGCAGTGGCTGCGGGCAGCTTTGCAACCCAGCGCTCAACCGCTGCGCCACTGGGGAGGCCCCAACGATTACTTTTTTATTCCTAGCCTTACACACGTCTTTTAAAGCGTCACACAGTGTATATGTGTAATTAACTAAATAGTATTTTTCTGCACTAGTTTATTTTACACTACTACGAGCCATTAAAGATCATGAGCCAGTAAATGACTATGACTAAAATATCTTTATAGATATTAATTAGTTTTATATGTTTGAATTCAGTTTATTAACTATGAATTTATTATTAGAAAAAAATCAAACTATGTGCATAGATATCTTATTGATGGTGCTAGTATTCTAAATTCAATAATCCTTTAGCTCTAACAGAATTTTTCTCAAATGGTATTTACTTATTTTTTTTTTTAAAGATTTATTTATTTATGCGTACAAGAGCTGGGGTACAGGCCAGAGATGCAGGGCATGAGAGGATTCACCAGAGACAGAGTGGGGAACAGAACAGGCAGACTAACTGAAATTCACTGCTGAGGGGAGCAGCGGGTAAGTCAGGAGAGGTCTGCTTAGCCATGTGGGTTGCTCCCTGCAGGCCTGGGATGGAACTCTAGCTGCAGAGGCTGCAGATTGCGTCATAGTGCAGTGCTTAACCCCTTGCGCCACCAGGGAGGCCTGGTATTTACTTTTAAATTAGGTTTCAATTTTAATGTAAACCACAAACATTTATATTACACATTAAATATAATCACTCAGGTAATAAACGATTGCCATATATTTAATATTGCTTGAAGCCATTAGTTCTTAAGATTTCCCTATTCTAGGTATTCTTTTTGATATTCATACCTATTTTAGATTAATAACATTACTCACATCCATAAGTCTTTGTTGACTAACCACTAATATTGATTTTCCCATTAATTTTATCTCAGAATGTTATCTCAGTTTAATAATGCAGGAAGTGTTACTTGCTCTCTTAGGGAAAATAAGCTACTTGTGCTGTTAATAGTAGCTAATGGGATAGATAATTCTAAGTACACTCTAAGCCAGAAATGCTGTCCAGTTTTTTGGGCCTACCTATTTTCATATTCCATTCCCAACCTGGACATCACTTGCTCAATAATCAAAGTGGCTAATCAAGAATCTGTGTTTTAAAAGGTGGTAGAAGCTGGAGAGATGGGAGGAAGAGGGGAAGGAGCGTATTCCCTCACCATGATCAGGTTTATAGAGAATGTTTTCGCTGGTATTATGACTTATTTTTACTTCTTTTCTAAAAATATTCTTTAGAAAAATTAACTTTAATAAATCAAAAATAGTAATAAGGCAGATAATGTGATAGGATTTCAAATATACATGCTTTTTATTTTTTAGGTTATATATCAATTGATGCCATGAAAAAATTCCTTGGGGAACTACATGACTTCATTCCTGGAAGCTCAGGATATTTGGCATACCATGTTCAAAATGAAATCAACATGTCTGCTATAAAAAACAAATTGAAGAGGAAATGTTAAGTTAAATTATGCTTATGTCTGGGCATTTATTCTCTTGTAAAAGTACTATCAGATATATACATGATTTACAATTCTCCCCTTTGGGACTGGGGAATAAGGAAATGGGTAAGAATTAGATTCTCTTTCTTCCTCAAAGTGTGTCTTCAGGAATTTAGAATCATTTTGATATTTAGGCTGGACTTCTCCCCCAGCTTGTAACATTATGGTAACAAATTCTGAGTGCAAGTTATGGAGTAGTTGTCATTCAAACATACTTCCTAAGCATTCTCTCTCTCAAATATTCTTTCGACATTAACATTCCATGAATTAATATATACTTTTGCAAGTTTAATGCTGTAAATGCTAAGTTTTATGATTTTGGTCATCTTATTTTGATTAAAAAATTAGAACATTATAGTTGAGTTCTGAATTACTATTTGTAGCTTGCAAATATGTAGTAAAATAATTATTCAGATTTCATGTGTGGTCATTTTCTGATAATAAATGCATCAAAAGTGCTTTAATATAAAGAGATATTTTACATTTGATGTAAACAAGTGTATGTCATTTGAAATGAACCTGCAAGGTTCTTTAGAATCACAGTGCTTGAAAGGGCCTTAGAGAACATTATGTCCAACCCATTTATTGTTTTTAATGACTAAATGAAGGCTGTCTTGCCTAAATGGGAGCCAAACCAGTAGAGGAACATAACCCTTCTGATTTTCTTGGCCAGTACTTTTCTACTCTCCTATATGGCATATGCTGAGGCACATCATGTATAACAGACAACAGATCTGCAAAGGAGACCCAGAAATAGGCCAGCATGTTTGACTTGTGTTTTAAATACACTGAAATGGTATTGAGATGTAGTGATTTCAAGAAGGCAACGTCTTAATTTTATTCATATGGTCATGCTCTATAGAACCCAGTTGATTTGTTAAATTTTGGCCATTTGTAAATGACATTATTTGTGAAGCTTATTAAAACTGTACTTTCTCTTAGGAAGTATATATCAAATGTACAATTATCTAAAGAAAATGCACTTTTTTCAGTGTTTGGATTATTTCATTGTATGTGGGCCCTGGCCTTTCTCTTATTACTCAGATCTCACAATATAAAAATTTAACATCAGGGCCTCCCCAGTGGCGCAGCAGTTGAGCGCTGGGTTGCAGGGCTGCCTGCAGCCTTGGCAGCGCCAGTTCGATCTCCAGCCGCCGGGCGAGGGTCCCACATGGCCCCAGACCTCTCCTGCTGCGCCCACTGCTCCCCTCAGCAGTGTATCGTCAGTCTGCCTGTACTGTTTCCCACTCTGGCTTTGGTGAATTCGCTCACCCTCCCGCACTTCTACTGTGCCCATGCTTGTATAAATAAATAAATAAATCTAAAAAAAAAAATTTAACATCATCAGCATTAGAAAGTTCTATTTTTCCCATATGGTAAAATTTCCTTCTTTATATTCATATTTGTGGTTAAACTCTTCTGAATTGCAAAATTAAAAACTAAATGTTAATTATTTTTTCCTAAAACATATTCTCTCTCCTGAATACTGTATATTAGTCACATTCAGTTGATTATATTTCTTATATAGAAACTAAGCCTTTTAATCATAAATTAATTATTAAAAGGATTAAGTAAATTTATACCAAGTTATATATATTGAAATTTCTTGAGAGTGTTCAAGTATTTTTCTGAAATGTTTTGTGCATGTTAACACAGTAAATAAAAGACTACCATATAACAAAAGTGATTATATGTTTAGGTGTATCTAGAAAAAGCCAGTTGCAAGATGTCTTTTTAAATATAGACATAGTATCTACCCAAGGGACACAAAAAACATTGATTCAAAAGAATTCCTGTACCCCTATGTTTACTGCAGCACTATTTATAAAACCTGGAAACAACTCAGATGCCCAAAAATAGATGACTGGATCAAAAAGATGTGGTATATATACACAATGGAATACTAGTCAGCAATCAAAAAAGATAAACTCATGCCATTCACAGCAACATGGATGGAGCTAGAAGGAATTATGCACAGTGAATAAATCAGAAGGAAAAAGAAAAGTATCAGATGGTTTCACTTATAGGAGGAATAGGGGAAACTAAGGAAGACATCAGGGGAAAAATATAATAACAATACAAAACACAACAAAAACAGACAATTATAAACCAGAGACATCCTGTTGGGGAGTTGGAGAGAGAAGGATTGGAGGGATGGAGGAGAACAGGGCACTGTAGTGATGGTGCATGGGTGAAATGGAGGAAATTCTATGGGTACTACAACTGAGGGGGGGAAGAAAACTGTTTATAAATGAACAATGGGGCCTCCCCGGTGGCTCAGCGGTTGAGCGCTGGGCTGCAAAGCTGCCCGCAGCCTCTGCAGTGCCAGTTCGATACCTGGCCGCCGGCGAGGGTCCCACATCTGGTGAATTCTCTCACCCTCCTGTGCTTCTGACTGTACCCAGTGCTTGTATAAATAAATAAATAAATCTTAAAAAAAGAACAATGATGTAAAATATATATTAATAATAAATATTAAAAAAATAGAAATAGCCATCCTAGTGGATATGAAGTAGTATCGCATTGTGGTTTTTCATTTGCATTTCCCTAGTGGCTAATGTGAAATTTTTTTACATGCTTATTAGTCATTTTTTCATTTTTTTATTGCAATATAATTGGCATATAGCATTATTCATTATTTGTATGTATTGGGGCACGATCACCACAATAAGTCTGGTTAACATCCAGACTTATATATGTAGTTATAAACTTTTTCCTGATGATGATAACTTTTAAGATTTATTCTCTTAGCAATATGCAGTATAATATTAACTATAATTGCCATGTACATTGTATCTTCTTGACATTTACTTTATAACTGAAAGTTTATACTTTTCCAATACCTTCACTCAGTCTGTCCATTCCCTCCCAAACCCTGTTTCTGGCAATGACTGGTCTATTTTCTGTATATATGAGCTTTTTTTTTTTCTCAAGAATCCACATATAAGTGAAATCATACATTTGTCTTTCTCTGTCTTATTTCACTTAACAAAATGTCCTCAAGCTCCCCGCATTCGTGTTGTCACAAATGGCAAGATATTGAATAATATTTCATTGTATACATACAGTCATATGTTGCTTATCAGTAGCAATACATTCTGAAGAATGCTTAATTAGGCAATTTCATCATAATGTGGACATTAGAGTGCAATTACACATACTGTTTTCCATTGTGACTGAACCAATTTACATCCCCAACAAGAGTATGGATGGGTTCCCTTTTCTCTACATCCTCATCAACACTTGCTATTTTTGTCTTTTTGATAAGAGCCATTCTAACAGGTATGAGATAATATCTCATTATGGTGCTGATTTGCATTTCTCTGTTGATTAGTGATGTTGAAAAATTTTTTATGTACCCTTTGGTCATTTGTATGTCTTTGGGAAGATGATTATCCAGATCTCCTGCCCATTTTAAAATTGGATTGTTTTTGCTATTTTTGTTGTGTGAATTCTTTATATATTTTAGACATTAACCCCTTTCAATTATGATTTGTGAATATTTCTGCCATTCAGCAGTCTTTTAGGTTCCCGAACATGATTTCTCTCACCTACACAATAAGTAATTCTCTTGGGAGCTCTGTACCAGACATATGGATGATGACTCATTATAATTTTTAGTATAATCAAAATATCACAAGTAGTTGCCCTTTCATTTCATTGACGATTTCCTTTGTTATCAGAACTTTTTTTCTTTATTTTTTAATATATTTTTTAGATCATTGTTCATTTTTAAACAATGTTTGCTTTCCCTGCCCCTCAAATATAGTCCCCATAGAATTTCCTTCACCAGTGCATCATGCACCATCACCACAGTGCTCCTCCCTCCCTCCCTCTCCCTCCTCCTCCCCTGCAGCACATCTCTGGTTTATAATTGTCTGTTTTTGTTTTGTTTTGTATTATTATTTTTTCCCCTGATGTCTTACTTAGTTCCCCTATATTCCTCCTAATAAGTGAAACCATCTGATATTTTTCTTTTTCCTTCTGACTTACTTCACTGAGCATAATTCCTTCTAGCTCCATCCATGTTGTATCAGAAGCTTTTTAGTTTGATGTACACCTTCTTGATTTGTTGCTTTTGTTGCCTTTGCTTTTGGTGTTAGATCTAGAAAGTCACTTCTAAGACCAATGTCAAGGAGCTGGTTTCAGGTCTTATATTCAAGTCTTTAATCCATTTGAGTTAACTTTTATGTGTGATATCAGATAGTGGTCCAGCACATTCTTTTGCATGTCTGCCCAGTTTTCCCACCACTGATTAAAGAGACTTATTTGCCATTTTTATATCTTCTTTGGAAGAATATCTTTGTCCATTTTTAATTTAGGCTGTTGTAAGAACTTCATAGATTCTGAACATGAGAACCACATCGTACGTATGATGTGTATTTTCCTCCCATTTCATGTGCTGTCTCTTGCTTACTTGATGACATTGTTTGCAATACAAAAGTTTAATTTTGATGAGTCCAGTTTCTCTATTTTTTCTTTCGTTGGTTGTGCTTTAGGTTTTGTACCTAAGAAGCCTCTGTCTACCCCAAGATCATGAAGATTTAGTCCTGTTTTCTTCTAAGACTTTCATAGTGTTAATTCTTACATCCGTGGAATTATTTTGAATTGAATCCATGATTCATTTTGAATTAATTTTTGTAGACAGTGTGAAGGAGGAGTAAACATTTACTCTCTTGCATGTAGATATCCAGTTTTTCCAGCTCCATTTGTTGAAAAAACTATTCTTTCCCCCACTTAATTATCTTACCAAGAATTAACCATTTTTCTGATTATATGTTACATTCTTATAAGATATTACACATCATATAAACAAATAATATAAAAAGTAAAAGATCATTAGGATGCAACCTCCAAAGAATAACTTGTTAATATGACCATTAAAATAAAAAGAGACCAGCCATAAAAATTCCCTGAGCAAACAAAACCAATTTAGTCATATAAGCAACACGTAATTTAGCTTACTTTGTCAGACTAACCTCATCTGAGTCATTTCTTGCTTATGCCTAGCAATCATAAATAAAACTTAAACTGTTTCCCAAAATTGGTATGAGGTAACCACTGACCAATTCCCTATCTTTAAAGAAAATCCCATTTTTTGGGCAGTGATTTACATCTGGACCTAGCCTCATTCCTAAGTAGATAGACCATTAGTTTTGTTTTTAAACTATATAATCGCATTTGTTTTACTACTTTTTTACCTAAACTATATTTTAATTATTACAGGGTTTAGTAACGTTTCATTTGAGTCAGCCTTGTATTAAGGATTTCATATGATTTTTTAATTAACAACCAATGACCTTTATAGAAGAAAGAAGGAAGTTTAGAACGACAATAAAGGAGTAAAGTTTGTAGTTCTAGAAAGACGAGATAAGGTTTTTTAGCATTCTTGTAGTGGTTCCTGGTGGTCGTTATCTTTTGATAAGCATCTGTCTTATCTATGTTTTCAGGGAACTTTGCTGTACTTCCCCTGCTTCAGGGAGTTTTGCTGTTCTCCCCCTGTGTGCTGGTTCCTTGCCCAGCCCGACCTAGGGACCATGGCGAAAGCCATTAGCCCTAAGGGTCACTGCAGGGGGAGGTGCAGCATATAGCCAACTACTATGAAGAATATCCAATAATGATGATTTGAAGTCACTGCCTTCTCACCATACAGCTTTACAACAACATAAGTCATGAGCTTCATTCCATATTTTAGTTTGAGTGCTGCCAGTTTGCAAACTATCTGAAGTGCCCACAATAAACTCTTACTAATTACTATTTTGGTGATTCATCAGTTGCTTTGGCTATTTATGAACTTTTTATGCTATAAATGAGTAATCTGGAATAGTGATCTCTCAAGGACATTCCAGATCGATGAAATACACAAAATTTTGCTAGGCACAAATAATTTCCAGAAAAATACTATTTAGCACGAGTGATTTCCTGAAGTAATAGAAGCCCAGTGGTATATCTACCATCCTGTTACTACTATATGCCAGGATAACCCACTTGAAACTATTAAAACTTTTATTAAAATATATAGACGTTTCCTGGAGTACCAGCTCTTTTTTTTCTTCTGCTTACTTTGTGTTCTGCATCATGCCAAAGCAAATATGCTCAAAAACGATCCTTGGACTCATACCCGCTGCATTGGAGAGGGCATCACATCTCAGTCACAGTGGCTAGGAACACAGAGTCAGACTGTCTTGGTTTAAATTCCAACTACAGCACATATTAGTTGTGTGATCAGTTACTTAATCTGTCTGTGGTAAATGGGGAAATTGTGAAGATTAAGGAGGCAGTACATTTATAGTGGTTAGGACAATAACTGGCACTTAGAAAATATATAAATATATATAAATTTATATACTTATAATTATAAACATAATTTATAAATATAAAAAATATATAATTATAAATATAAATATATAAATATAAATACATAAATTGTGGTTCCTGTCACAAAACAATGAATGATCATCAAATTAATTTTTTCTAAAATAAAATTGGGGGGGCTCCCTGGTAATGCAAGGGGATAAACACAACACTATGAAGCAATCCAAAGC